TCAGAAGACTTCTAGTGACATAAAGAATAAAGATCGGGATGGTACACGTCAAGGCAAAGAAGATGGTGAAAGTGATACGATGCTATAGATGCCAAGTACATGGCCACATAGCAAGAGACTGCGAGGTAGAATCAAAAGGGAGTGCTGGAAGTGCGGGATGGAGGAATATGTGAAATCCCAGGGTAGCACTGTAAGGACTACGAACGTGGAGTTATCAGCGAACCAAACAGGAAGCAAAGGTGGAGATAAAACGGACTGGCTAGCGTTTTATGAGTACTCTAGATGCATGGTACAGAGAAGATGACAACCGCCTCGGCAGAAAGACTTGAATGAATGATAACAGAAACTATAAGGAATTGCAGGAATAGGGTAGATGAAAAAAGAAAATCATCCTATTGTGGTGCTAAGAGATCGCCAATAAGAGGAAGGAATGTATTGCCATCAGAAGACAGGCTACGATGGAAAGAGGTAGAGGCGAAGTAAACGAAGCTAGTAGAATGGATATAGTATACAATGCGTGAAATAAGGAACTAAACAGGAAGATTCAAGCCGAAAAGAAAAGGCACAGAAGTCTTCCGAGAGTTGCGCGAGGTGGGGATTAACCAGAGGTGGGCGATCCTACTGATTTTTGATGTCCGGAATGCTGTCAATACACATTAAAATAGAAAGAGATAATGAAGGCTTTATGAGAAAGAAGTTGTTTGAGATACTTGATGAACTTGGCCTCGGACTATCTATCAGAGAGCAAAATTGTGGTATAAAAAGAAGTGGTGGTTGATGAGACGGCTAGAAAGCGGCATGCTGTGAAACTTGGCATATGACAAAGTTGTGAGGTAACAATAGGAACAGGGTGTAGCCCTTTTTGCGGAAGACCCAGCTATGCTACTAGTGGCGCCCCCTGGGGGAAGTTTATCTTTGGTGCACAGCGTGTGGGTAAGAGCATGACTATAGTTCTCAAGGGACCAAGAAAAATGGACGGGATATCATTCGAATGTGCAGGATAGAGAGTGATTCCAAACAAATGCGTCAGGTATTTAGGTGTGACTCTGAGTCAAAACAGAAGGTGGGAAAGCACGTAAAGACGGTAATTCAAAGAGCTGCATTGCTTCAGTAGAATCAGAAACTTTTACCGGAATAAGAAATTTTGTCGTGTTTATTGGTTATGAAAAGGCATTTGATATAATTGCATCATAATATTAATAGATAAAACAGTTGGCAGCTGCGACGTCAGAATCATTGAAAAATTATAGTGGCGTCAAACAGCAACCATTCGTATTAATGGGAACTTTACGGAAGTGTGTAAACTCAGGGAAACAGGCAGAGTCTTTTGCTATTCCCACTGTTGTTTAATTTATATTCAGAATATTTAAACGTACTTTGAGAATTCTTCCAATATTTGAAGCACTCTCTAAGACAAAAAAGCCGGTTTTAACGGAAAAACTTACTGTACTTATTTTACATTCAATAAATAGTGCAAAAGTAGAGGACAATTACCAATTATATTATTTCTAATTTATAGGGGTAAGTATTTACTGATAAAATAATTACAATAACACCCAAAATTTTTCTTGATGAGAAAATGGAAATATATTACCTAATAGTGAAATTAAGAATTAGATCGTAATAGAATTATATCATTCATAATCACTGTCGTCGGTATATTCATTTGGATTATAAATGATGACTGGGTTAATATTGCTTTAATTCGATTTTCATGCATTCAAAATTCTTCTATTAATTTTTCACATTACCGCACACTTTTTTCCAAGTTGCAGGAGTATTTTTATTGCTTCTTGCCATGTTTCCAAAAGTTTTGTGTCATTGTAACCGTTAAGACCAATTTGGTTATCATAGTAAGTTTTACATATTCGTTGAATATGTTCAATAGAATTAAGTTCACAATGGTACGAGCAACTGTAGTAATTCCAGTTAAAAAGAATCCCGAAGAAATAAAATATTTTCGCACTGCCCGGATATTTGTTGGTTGCTTATTTAAGATTTTAAAATAAACCTGAAAATTGTTTATCTTTTAACCATTTCACAGACATCTCCGTACTCATGCTATCGTGATAATAACCGATTTTGATTTTGAGGAGAACACAAGATTTTCTCCATCACTAAAACCATGTTTTCCACCCTTATGTAACATAATATGCCTCTTTTTCTCAGTGTCAGTGTGTTTTATGGATTTTATATTCTCGTCCTGCCAAATTCGTTTTATTCTACATTAAGCAAAAATCCACGTTTTGTCTAAATAAATAAATAAAGCGTGTTTTTTTAAAATTATTTGAGCTTCTTAAAACCTCAATTCTTCTTTTCTGAACGAAACTAGTTCTTTTACAAAAGGCTTTTATATTGTCTTCCATTGTAAACTAATCTGTTAAAAACTTTCCAGACACCCTGGAAATTTCAAATGCATTTCTGTTTTTAATTTTTTTAACATCGTCTTTACAGAAACATGTTATTTCTTTTTACGCATTTTATATATTGTCGAATTTCAAACGTATAACCCTTAGGAACATCTTTAGTCTTACGGTGTGGTCTAGGTTTATATGTCTTATGCGACCTCTACTGGTAAAAGGAACCAGAAAAGGAGATAGAATAATGCATGTCCAACTGAATATTGGCAATACCACGTATCATATGTACTATTGGGGGGGGGGAGTGGTAGGGGTGGAGAATAGAAAAAGGAATAACCTTGTTGGAGGTCTTTTGCGATGCTCAAGATTTCTGTGGACGAAAAGTGTTTTATTAAAAGGTATTTGAGAGAAAGAGCGGAAATAGAAAGAATTAAATAGAGGTTTCTGGATGGGAATTAGCAATGACAAATAAAATAGTGTGATTGGCTTCGCAGATGCATAGGATTTGATTGTCACTAATACATTCTTTATGAAAATCAAAGACCAGTATCATTCGTATAGTAGCGGGGAAGGGAAGGTCAGATGGATTTTGTGTTGTGTAAAAGATGTCAGCTAAAAGAGGTTACCAACTGTAAAGTGACAACGAGTGAGTGTGTACCTAGTCAACACCGACCGGTAATAGTGGATACGGAGATAAAGGTGAGGTGTAAAGAAAAGCAAGTAGGACACCAGAAAGTAAAGTGGTGGAAGTTCAGGAATAGCTATTTGACAACAGTCTTTAAGAGTAGTGTACTGGAAGAGATTAAGGAACAAAATAAGTTAAACGACTGGTTTAAAGCCAACAGCAAAATTGTTATGCAAGTAGGAAAGTACATCTACTAAAAGACCTTTTAGAGACAAAGAAGCTTGGTGATGGATCGATGAAGTGCAACTAAAGTTTATAGAAAGGGAAAAGGCTAGAACGAGATATTCCAGGTCTAAAAGAGATGAAGATAAGGATATATATATATATATATATATATATATATATATATATATATATATATATATATATATATATATATAAGGGAGTAAAGAGAAAAGCAAAGTAGAGCTCTGTAGCAGTAGCTCTGTAGAGCTACTGCTATACGAAAAATCGTCTGCACAACTGTATGAAGAGTTGGAAGCACACGAGGCGATGGAAAGGTTATACAGCATTGCTAAAGTAAGGGAAAATTCATCAAAAGACTTGACACACGTGCGGTAGATTAAGAGTGTGGATGGAAGACTGCTAAGTACCGATGTTGAAATTAAGTAAAGATGGTATGAGTAATTTAGAAAGTTGCTGAATGAAGAACAGCAGAGAAGGGACAGAGGATGCGGGATCCCAAATGACAATGTAATACCGAGGATAGCGAGAGATAAAGTTGTCGAGGTGTTAAAAAGGACAAATAATGGTAAGGCGTTAGGACCTGATGGTAAATCTGTGGAGCTTTGAATGGCTCTAGAAGAGGATGGGGTTTATATTTTATGGCAAATGATGAGTAAGATATATGAGAACAAAAGGATCCTCAATGCATGTAGAGAGGGTATCATTGTATAGAATAAAGAGGACATTCATTACTGTAAGAATTATAAAGGGATAAAGTTAATGTTACACACAATGAAAATTTGGGAGAGAATTGTAGAACGAAGGTTAAGTACAGATGTATCGATGGGAGAAGAATAGTTTGTGTTTATGTCAGAAAAGAAGACAACAGATGCCTTGTATACTTTAAAACAGTTAATAGAAAAATACATCGAGAAGAAAACAGAGCTTCTTTGGATATTTATAGATATTTAGAAGGCGTAAGACACAGTTCCTAGACAAGAACTATGGAGAAGTTTGAGAGAGAAATGGGTTTTTAAGAAGGACGTTAGGCTTGTAAAGGATAGGTATGAGGGAGCGTAGATCAATGTTGGGAGTGCTGTCCTGACTAAAAGTTTTCCAGTTACGGTTGTTTTGCATCAAGGAACTAAGTTCTTACCAATTTAATCTTATTGTAGATGTACTGACAGAGAAAGTAGGGGAGGGTTAGTGTTGGGTAAGACACGAAGGAATCGGATCAGAAACGACCTAATTAAGGAAAGAAGTGGGTGATTACAGTCTCAAAAAATGTTTAAGAAAAAAAGACTCCAATGGTTTGGCATATCAGACATAAAGATAAAAAATATGTAAGAGTAAGGAACAGCGACTCTTAAAAAGGTAAAAATTTAGGTAGAAGAAGAAAAAGAGGATTGCAATGAGAATTATATTTTACATTCGTTTTTGGCATTTCGATTTTCAACCCGAAAATTGCTTTGAAAATGTTTTATTAAGTAAGAAGATACTGTTATGTTTACTGAAGAATCCTGATTGTTCATTGGCGAATTAATACCTCTATGGAAGGTTGTCACTCTATTCTTTATTTTTCTATTTTTTGTCCATTAATTTATATACTGTGCGTTTGATCGAAGTTCACCCGTTTAATTCCTGTAGCGTCGCTTATATTCTTGTGAACTCATTTAATGGAGTACTGCCACCTGCCGACATGGATATTGTCTTATAATTCTAATGGGTCATTTTTGTTAACAATATTCACAGCGTTAATGCGTATGCAGGTAAATAAAAAAACACATATACATACCTTAAAAATTACAAGCTAAAATCTATATTAAATAGACTAAGCAGTTTTTAATAATTTTATTAAATATAATTAATAAACATTCTAAAAAAATATATTATGTCTGTTTATGCTCATATTTGAGCGCTAAGGAGTGGATCACTTTTACTGGAAGGTATATATTTCTCTCCCTTTAATAAAAATTGTATCTCTTCCAACGTTTTACCTTTGGTTTCAGGAATATAATATAAAATAAATAAGGTAATAAGAAAACTTCCTACACTAAACACGTAAAATGGTACGTGCATTCCATAGGAATGTTCGAGCCAAATATATAATTGAACACTAATTACAGCTCCTATAACGTACATGGCGTCTGCAATAGTCATACCTATTGCCTTCATTTTAGCGGGAAATATTTCTGAGGTTATTACAATGGGTACTATGCCCAAACCTATCTTAAAGGTACACGCGTATATCATTACAGAAGCAATTGGTATCCAACTGACATCTTTAACATCATGATTTGTTAACTTCATGTGAAAGTAAATTGCAATTGCTAGCAAACAAAACGATGTAAGTATTGTTGATACTAATAATAAAGCTTTCCTTCCGTACTTGTCAACTTGTAAAGAAGCTATTTTAGCAGATATAAGCATTATCACAGAAAATAAAATTCCAGCATGAGCAGAATCCATATAAATTGAACCAGCTGAATTTAGAATATCATGCAAATTCATTAGTATTACGCTAATAGCAACAATATGCTGTCCTGCGTTTAAAACAGTCATTATAAGTATGGCCTTTCGATTACTTTTAACTAAAATTATATCCTGAAACCGACCTTTTTCTGTTTTTTGTCGATCAATGGCTTTGGTTATTTCTTTTAGTTCCAATTCGACATCTCTTCCTGGTCTAAAATACTGTAAAGACTGTCGAGCTTCCTCAGATTTATTTTTAAAAAGTAGATAATATGGACTCTCTGGCATCCACCAGAATATTAACAATTCAGCTAGTAATACTACTCCTGCCACAATCGGCGTCGTATAAAACGGCAAATATGGCCCAACACTGTAAACTATTACAAATCCAACTAGCATTTGAAGGTAGACAATTGATGCTAAAAAGCCCCTTATTTTACTTTCAGCAATTTCCGCAATATACATGGGCATACTAACAAACGACATATTTCCAATAATTCCAAAAATAAAACGCGTAACATATAAATAAATCATATGATTAGCCAAGGCTATAACTATCCAACCAATAAGAGATGATACTGCAGCTAATAATAGAGACTTTCGTCTTCCTATTTTGTCGACTAAATAAATGGTAGTTGGTAAACCACAAAAGGAACCTAACATTAGTATAGTTTCTAACCATTCTACTTCTCCTTTTGTGGTTTTTATATGACTTTCATCGCTTATAAGGTATGGCAACATTGGAGCAGTCCATCCATATGTCATTCCATCGGATATTGCAAATAAGGAACCTAAAAAGAAAAAAAGTATTATTGGTTTGTACACAATATACATAATATACAATCGCAAACCGTATTAAACCACAAACTCTTTAAAACACTAGAAAAATTTGTAGATTCGTAAATAATAAATTCTAAAAATTTTAAGAGATATCTTTATTACACTAGCCTTCTTACAACGAAGTGTGTTTCTTAATAACGATGGAAAAAGTATCAAAATTCCCTTGAGATTGAAAAAATAAAGTCAAAGAGATATGGTACGATAATTGAACGTTAGGTCTTCAACTATGCACAAAACGTAACATAATAAAACAATACAGACTGACATACAAATCAATCAACACACATATGATTAGATAAGGCTATAACTATCCAACCAATAACTACAGCTAATAATAGAGACTTTTGTCTTCCTATTTTGTCGACTAAATAAATGGTAGTTGGTAAATGGAGGTATATGAAAAACTATTTTGTTCCTATTTATACATTTGTAGAGTCAATAGGAACAGGTAAAAATAAGGTGTAAAGTGACATACACAGATAAATATAAAGTTTGTTTTATTGAAAAAATTTATTGTTGAAATAAAAAATACACTTTTAAGGTAAGTTAATATAAACACAAATCACTAACATCATTGTTAAACCTAATCATGTTTTTAAACCGAGACGAGGTATTCACGTTTATATTCATATTAACATTAAGTTATTAAATGTTAAAAAAAATACTAAAAGCAAGACTTTTAAGACGAAAATGAATGTTTCACCGACTACATCTAACAAATTAATGGTCAGATAGATTTGAATTTTCTCTAAGGTCAGTGTAAATAAATTATCGATAACAACTACTAAAAGAAGAAAAAGTTGTATAAAACCCCTTCTATGTCAAAGAAAACCAGCCTAAAGCAAAAAGTAGTAGAGTTAGATTTATTTTTGACAACTATATTGCAAAAGTAATAATTTCAAAAAAATTTAAGTAAATATTAAAATTCGAAAAACCTTTTCTCAGTTTGCAGAAGCCCCAAAAGATGGATATAAAAAAAAAGAAAGCAACCAATGAACTGAAGTACTTTGTGCTATAAATGTGCTAAAGAATGTAGTTAAAGTCGGTTCGCTATTCCCAGTCCGAACTGTCTAGTGAATTTAGTAATTATTTTTTTGCGAAGTTAGTTACTTTTGACAGACTAAAAGTGGCTGGAAATTACTATACAACCAAGCACACGTACCCTTATCCAATATTAATAGTAAACGAACTAAATAGTAAATAAAATAGAACTTTGCGAATTACCGACAATCGATATTTATTTATCTGCACAATATATTAAATAGTTATGTTAAATTATAACAACTAAAATATATTTTTAAAATATATACTACCCAAAATTTAATGGGTTTAGTATACACTTCCACTATTTAGAATAATTCTTCTTTTTTCAAAGAAAGAAGTCTGCAATAGTAGTATACTTGAGCTATTAATACTGAGAAGTAGGAATTGTTGTGTTGTAGGATTCCGACAATGAATCTGTCAAAATATGCCCGAGCTGAGCGAATGTAGTATATAAATTTTATTTTTGAAATGTTGATCTTTTGTTTAAATGTTAATATTTATGAATAATGATTGCTTCTTAAAATCATTCACTTATTTCTAAAAAGTTCTTTTGAATTAATTATCTTCATTTCCCAAACTTTTAATGTTATCAAAAGCCGTGATATCATCTTTGTCAATCACATGCTCTACCAAAGCACAAGATGGTTTCTTATACGATAATACGGTATAATACGATTAAACAAATTCCTCTCAGTTTTACTAATATAAACAACATCACACTGAGTACAATTGATGCTCTACACTACATTGATTTTGTCTAACTTATCTGTAGGATATTTGGTCTTTGAATATAGAGATGCAATAATTTTTTCTTGTTATTTTTACATTAAAAATAATCTTTATATTTGTACTAACTTAGGTGTTAACGAGGCCATATAGGGCAGTAAATAGTAATTAATATTCTGATTATATTAGAAGCATTGTTTGATGTCCAATAAAAAATAGTGACAAATTATTTACATTATCGATATTAAAAAAAAGTCATACTATGTAGCATATGGGGATACTAAGATTTTTCAATGATAATGTTTTTAATAATTGAAGATCTTACTATAGATAGTCTAGATTAGATATCCTATGACACGTTTTTTTAAATTCTGTTATAAGGTTCATTTTCATCCTGTTAGGATGTTGTGTCAAGGAATGGTAGAGAATCACCAACTTCTTTCTTAACTGTGAATGGTATATGTTGATTATGGCCGGTGGACAGTTTCCGGAATTCTCTCCCTGCGAAGTACCAAAACCAAATCATCTACATACCTCTTAATCAAAGGAACTACAAACAAAAGTGCAATTCTTATCACAATCATTAATGACATCATCCATGACATATCTACTCAGAAGAAGTAAAGACTAGAGCCTATAACACTACCAAAAATTTGTTTATAGAAAAGACCATTAAACAAAAATATTTGAATCAAACATGAAGTTGATAAGTGTTTTAAAATTCAATAAGTCAATAGTAGTATGTTGTGAAATCGCATTCCAATGTTTTTCCACATTGATTATGCTTATTAATCTAAAAGGCAAATTTGTAGATTTACATCAAAACTAACTAACATAGTCAGGTGGTAATTGAAACTTATTGATGAAAGAACTAAGAAGTTAAATGAATGTACACATTGTTATTCAAATTATAAGCATTACTTAAAATTGGTGAGGTCCTCTACTATTGGTCAAATGAGAGTGTTTAGAGATGATACAATAGGTTTCATAGATAAATTGAGTTTGTGTATTTTAGGTAGAGCATAGAAATGTATAGTACTTAATAGAATTAGGTATATATCGTAAGCTCCCTTGCTCTTTTGTTCTGTACAAACTTCTTTTTGTGCAATTTAGATATTAAATTATTTGATTTCGGTCGCAGTGTTTAAACAGGATTCCTTCTTAGTTTGGTGTTATCCATAATATCCTTTAACAGTTTTCCTCTTTCCATAGTGCAACAGTAACGTTACCTTTGTCGCTTTTGACAATATAAACCTCGGGATAGTTCGTTTAATTTGTACACAATTTATTTTTAACATGATATGTTCCTTATTTATGTAGGAAGTTGGTAATAAAATTTATACATTTAGATCTTAAAATTTTTTTTTTGATAATTAGTTTTTTTTTATAATTGTGGGATACTGTGGGATAAAAATTTTTTTTTAGAATTGTCAAAAATTTACAGATGCCAGTTTAGAATGTGCTCAAAGTGTGGAGTAACAAATTGTTTTACATTTTAAGTTTTTTGTACTTAAAACATTGATTTGTGGTCAGTTTATTTAAAATTTGCACCAGTATGTATTGACATTATTACATTATTTTGTTTTATTTTTAGTTATAAAATAAGACCATTAATTTTGGATTGGAATTTTTAGATGGCTAAATCTAAAGATCTTCGTGTTAAGAAAAACTCGAAAAACAAAAAACCTTCAGTCACCCCCAGTGCGCAACGAATTTTAACAAATTTACTTGCAACACACCTGCGAATTATCTCAGTACTATACTGGCACCAAACGGCAACAATTGAAATAGAGCACACAACATCCGAAGATATACAAATCCGACGAGGAGTGAGACAGGGTTGCGTCTTATCACCGCTACTGTTTAAATTGTATTCGGTGTCTATATTTAGAGAAGCATTAGACCAGGTCCAAGGCGGCATTAAGATTAACGGAATCAGAATAAACAACATCAGATATGCTGACGATACTGTCTTAATAGCAAGCAACGCACAAGAACTACAAAATATAATAAATGCGGTAGTTCACCAAAGCGAAATGTTCGGTTTACCTCTAAACGTCTCCAAAACTAAAACTTTAGTATTTTCAAAAGCACCCATAAATGTACATGTGTATGCCAAGGGTCAAATGATAGAACAGGTAAATTCCATAAAATATTTGGAAGCTAATGTTAATAGTCAGTGTAATCCAAAAAAAGAAATACTATCAAGAATCGAACAAGCAAGGAAAACATTCATGAGCATGAAAACATTTTTTACAAGATCAGAACTTAGTCTGCATCTTAGAATCCGAATGATTAGATGTTACGTATTGTCGGTCTTATTGTATGACTGTGAAAGTTGGACAATGGATTCTGAAATAGAAAAAAGAATGGATACCTTTGAGATGTATATATACAGCCGAATGTTGAGAATTCCATGGGTACAAAGAGTTACTAATGTTGAAGTACTTCGTCGAATGTGTAAACAAAAAAAATTACTAAGAATAATCAAAGAGAGGAAAATGCAATACTTGGGTCATGTGTTGAGAGGCGAAAAATATGAATTACTTCAAGTCATATTGGAAGGAAAAGTACAGGGCAAAAGATCAGTAGGAAGACGCCAGAACTCATGGCTGAAAGACCTAAGGAGATGGTTTGACCGCTCATCCGCAGAAATCTTTCGCGCAGCAGTTTTCAAAACCACAATTGCCATTTGGATCGCCAATCTTCGAAAGGAGACGGCGCCATGAGAAGAAGAAGACACCGAAGAGTCACCCATAGAGATTTAAGAAATAATTTGGTAGAAGCAGGATACTCAGTATCGCCGGCCACTGTACGCCAAAATTTGTATGGCATGAGCTTTAAATGTCGCAGGCCTGTTAAGAAGCCAAAACTAACACCACAAATGCTCAAAAAACGCTTAGCTTAGGCCACGATTCGTAAAGACTTGTCTAGTGATGATTGGCGTAAGGTTAATTATTAGTTTGTATATATAAATAATTATCATTTTACTTTTGCTCTTTATAATTGTTATTGACAGTCACAGGTTTGCTTCAGCGATGAAGCCACATTTCAAATTATGGATAACAAGACTCAGTTTGTCCAAAGGCGGTCAAGGGAAAAATATGAAAAGAGGTGTGTAATTAATACATTTAAACATCCTACTTTAGTAATGATTTATGGTCGGTGATAAGCGACAAAG